AACCCTAAACCCTAAACCGTCACCCTGAACGATAAACCTTCGACTCTGACCCTTCAGCTCTAGAGCCTCGAACCTGAACCTTACTTGAGCCGTTAAAGCACTGCATTTAGGGTTTAGGGTTTAGGGTTTAGGGTTTAGGGTTTAGGGTTTAGCGTTTAGGGTTTGCAATCTACCCATAGGCCCTAAAGTAGTTCCTTTTGGGGGCTCATATATAGAATCCTATAAGGTAACCCCCAAAAGGAACTACTTTAGGGCCTATGGGTAAGCTCTGCACCGGAAGGCTGTGGACGCAACATGTAACGACTAACGCCGCATGAAGCTCTAGACCCCGAAGGCCCGAATCCGTATCAAAGTCGTGCGAGCCCCGCAGATGGGGTATTTTGCCTCAGTGGAAATAGAGCCCTACTGTACTTCTTACCTACTTCGCGGCCCCGGATTACAAACCCTCCACCCGAACCCCCAAAACCGAAAGTTTTTTAAAAACGCAGATCTCAAAACTGACAAAAGCCTTAAACACAGAACAAAAGCAGACAACCCAACTCCCTACAACGAACCAGAGCTACAGGTACAGCTATGGTTAATCCCAAAAGACCCCTGAATCCCAACCCTAAACCAAAACTCCAACAATAAAATTCATTAACCCAAAATTACTGAATGCAGGGGCCCGAGCAATTGAACATTATTTTCCTCTCAGGTTCATATACATATGATATATAGTTGTACTATATAGTTTAACCCCAAAATTACGATGTCCTCTATATTCAACTTCTTATGACCTTATAAACCCCTGAAAGAAATCCCCAAATCCTTATAGAACCCTTCCCAGAGAATCCAATACTCCTCAATTAAGAAAACCATGTCAACATAAGGCCCCGCTGGAGGTTATTGAGGTCTATCCTGAATTAAACGTATATACTGCGGGGCCCTCTGGGCTGGAAAAAATAGGGTTTAGGGTTTAGGGTTTAGGGTTTAGGGTTTAGGGTTTAGGGTTTAGGGTCCGAAGAGTAAGCCTATGAAAGCCTTTACACCTCTTACAGAAGCCCATATATAGCCTTGCAAGGAACTGTACCCTAAACCGTAAACCTTAGGCCCTGATAGAAAGTAGAAATCCAAGAAAAGGAACACTTATTAAAAGAACCCCTGCTGTAGAAACCCGTAAAAAGAACCCCTATACAAACGCTCGAAAGGAACCCTTCTTTAAGCCCTAGAGCCCTTTTAGAAACCCCTCAAAAGGAACCCACTTCTAATCCCAAGGCCCGATAAACCCTAAACCCTAAACCCATCTCCCCGTCTCTGCCTCCCCCAGCGCTTTCCCGGCCCGTTCCAGAGCGGAGCGCTCGTGGGTGAAGTCCAGCTCTCGTGGAAGGGACTCCCTCCATTCCTCTTTAGGGTTTATAGGGAGTAGGGTTTTAGGGTCCAGGGCTTAGGGATCAGGGTCTTAGGGTCTGATAGGGTTTAGGGACTAAAGTTTTAGGGCTTTAGGGTTTAAAAGTTTAGGGCCTGATGAGGTTTCGGGGTTTAGAGATTTTTAATCGCGCGGTAGGGGACCCAACCGGGTCCCTGAATGGTCGGATCCGTGTTCTAAAGATCCCTTCCCAAAGCCTAAACCCAACGGTCATTCACAGGGAACTCCATGATTGCCGAGATGAGAAGTGGAAGAGATTGCAGCTAAAATCTCAGCTGCTAGACCCAAACCCCAGTCCAAAACGGAAGCCCTATACTACCAATGCCGGAATAATTACCAACAGCACTCCTTCTTATAAAGTTGTTAAAGATATAAATTAAACAAAAACTATAGCCCAAAACATCCCAAAACTCTATTCCAATCATTCACGCCCTATATATAAAGCCCTGTGAAGCCCTGTAAACCCACGACCCTGATGGAACCCTTACATCCTTGTAGAAACCATATGGAACCCGGAAAGGAACCCTGTACAACCCTTAGCTTGGTAGAAACCAGAAACCCTTGAAGGTACCCGCGAGTTCCTTCACGGGTTCCTGTAAAGAAGGCTCCTTTAAGGGTTCTTGTAAGGGCTCCCTGAAAGGCTCTCTTACGGGTTGCCTTCTGGATTCCTTTAAGGGTTGCCTGAAGGGCTCCCTTCAGAAGGGTTCATGGGTTCCTTTCAGGGTTCAGGGCCCCAAACCCTAAACCCTAAACCCTAAAACCCTAAACCCTAAACCCCTAAACCCTAAACCCCTAAACCCTACACCCTAAAACCCTAAAACCCTATAACCCTAAACCTTAGGGTTTAGGAGTCCGTCAAAAGGAAGGCGCCTCCGCGAACTTCCTGAAGTCGAGGTCTGGCCACCAGGCCGCCAACTGCTCTGCCACCTTAGGGGCTACGGCGTTACAGGATACGGGTTTGGGGTTTAGGATTTGGGGTTTAGGATTTGGGGTTTTAGGGGTTTGTGGTTTAGGGTTTGGGATTTGGGGTTTGGGGTTTGGGATGCTGGGGTTTAGGGTTTAGGGTTTGGGATGCGGGGTTCTAAGGTTTAGGGGTTCAGGTTTTAAAGTTGGGTGGCTTTAAGTCCATGAGGGTTAATGGAGTGTTCGTGTGCTTTTTGAGAGGTGTTATCGGAATTCTTAGGGGTTTAGGTACACTACACTAGGGTTTTTTTGAAGGGAAGATGCTGGGCCTTTCGGGGGTCTTTTGTATGCCTATTTGGTATGTTTTGGACTTAAGGGGTTCCTATGTTAGTCTATGGTCAAAGTAAAGTTGGCGTAGATCACTGCTCAAGCTGTCGGATTGTTGAGGATTTATAAGATTTAGGACTGCGTAACGATGCGCAGAATTCAGCAAGCAGGCTACAAGTGGGGATGCAAGCAACCTAATTGGGGTTCGCTCAATGGTCATAGACCCACTTACTTCCTACATTCAAAGCCCTTTTGCTGACTCTTATTGCCAGGAAGTAGCAGCCCTCATGCACCTACGAAGCCGCTAAGCACCGGTACGCCACAATCGCAAAACCCATAAACCGAAGTCCCCAGCAAGCCGCGGCTGTGAGAGTCTCGATGTCCTCGAGGAAGATTCGGTCTACGCCGTCATGCTGTACCTCACGAAGAGGATCAGGGTTTGGCGTTCATAGTAGGGTTTAGGGTTTAGGGTTTGGGGGTTTAGGGTTTAGGGTTTAGGGTTTAGGGTTTAGGGTTTAGCTGAATGCTTCCGGTAAGTTGCATAGAGTTTCGGCTTCAGTGCTGTGGGGATCCAGTCTTGGCGCGACTGTGTAGATCTTACAGCTTAGGACCATCGGGGCTTCGGAAACAATAGAGCAGAACAACAGAGAATATTTGGGTTTACGATAGACTTGTCAAGATCTCGGACCCTCGGATTTAGGGTGCAAGGTGCACGAAGCTGCACCGGATTTCTGAGAGGTGCAACCCCAAGCCGCCCGAAATAGCAAAGCCCTAAACCCTAAACCTTACGAAAGTCAAGATAAAAGGATCCCACATCCAAAGCGGCCATGGAGTGAAGCTTCAGGTTTTTAGGCAGCAGGGTTTAGGCCCTGCACCCTAGCCCCGAAACCCTACACTGCAAACCCCAAACCGGCATAGGATCCTTATAACTATAAGAACCCCCAAACCCTAAACCCTGAACCCGAAAGGAACCCTGTTCCATGCCTTCACCGCCACGATCTTCTTCCTCAGCAGAAAACTCAGAACGAACTTTCAGCCGTCCCAACTCTCAATCCTACAGTGGTCTTTATGTTGGCTCTAGAAAGTGTTATGACATACTTCACAAGACTTTTATTATGGTCTTGTAGATGCTCATGCAGCTCTTGTGGGTTTTCAAGGCTGCTCTATGAACTCAGGGATGCTGCACGTGCAGAAGCTCAAGACAAACCCAACAACCCCAACTATGCCCGGCCAAGCTCACCTAACGGCCGTCCTTCCAAACGAAAACAAGAGAGCATAGGGGCCCTGATAAACTGAGGACCTATATATACATATATATATATATATGTATGAACAGATGTATGTATATGTATTTAATGTATAATCAGAAATACCATTTCCGCGTACATTATACGATGCCTACAATCGTGATCATAAGGGGAGACTACTCGCAATTGCTCCGACCCGCTTTTCTTCACTGGCTGCTGTGCAGCTTCTGGCCCGAAAGCGCTTGACGAATTGATCGCCGGGCGAACTATGGAAGTTCCGTATTACCCACTCCAGATAGAGTCAACCCTAAACCCTACAGGGCAATAAGGTAGGCCATAAACCCTGGCCCTAAACCCTAAGCGGCCCGAAACCCTAATCCTACCCCCCCCCCCCCAAGTCGAAAAGCCCACGGCAGACCCTGCGGTGCAGAGCCTGCACCCTGCCTCGCAATCCTTTTCTCAACTCCGTCGAAACGTAAACCCTGAAGGTTTAGGGTTTAGGGTTTAGGGTTTAGGGTTTAGGAAGATCCCTAAACCCTAAACCCCTTCAAAACCCCGAAACCCCAAAACTCCTCAGCAAAGCTTCGTGGACCTCAGCCGTGCCCGATGGACCTGTGCGATGGAGGCCGACGCCAAGGGCTCTGGATCGAACTCGCAGAAGATGTCCTTGCACGAGGGGGTAAGGATGCTTGATGCTTGGTTTCAAGGCATAGGACGGCATGCTATCCCAGACCCCCGGAAGGATCTAGGAAGTAGAACCCCTAATTAATTTGGGACCCTATACTACTAAAGGCTCTTTACAGGAACCCCCCATTAAGGGATCCACTTTTTGGATCCTCCCGGGGGTCTGGGATGCGGCTTTTGGAGGGTGCAGGCCCTGGGTTTCTCTGGGCTGCGAGCGGGTCTTTGAAGAGCTTTGGATGGCTGAGTGCGGTCTACGGGCTTGGGGTTTTAGCTTTAGGGTGCTGGGTGCTTGGGCCTGGCAGGGGGTGTAGGGTTCGTCTTTTTTCTTGAGCTCCTTTGTCCGAAGGGGCTTAGGGCGTAGGGTTAGGGCCTAGGATTGACGGTTGAGGCTTGAAGACTGGGTGAAGTGCAGGATCACACTTGGTAGCGGTTTGCTTGACTTTACTTGTGCGATGGGGTTTCAGTCCTAACCCTAAATGTCATAGCCCTTAAGAGCCTAAGCTTAAACCCCGAAGCCTAAGCTCTCTCGACCCAAAGCACTGAAGCCCTCTCGCCGTCCTTGGGAGCTTGGTGAAAGGTCCGCTGTATCGTTCGATAGACCTCCTGGACGGTGCTCACGGGCAGGTGGTCTGTCAGAGACAAGAACTCCTCGACAAGAGCAGCAGCTGGAGATCTTCAATCCTAAACCCTGAACTCTCGACGGCTGTGGGAATGGAATTAAAATGGTAGGACCGTGCAATCCAATCATAAAAATCTGCAGTGCGCCTATCGACCGGCGAGCTTTGGACAAAGAGGGCTTCGTGCAAAACAGCTGGAGCCGCCTACAACTGTTTGCAGTCCCAAGCCGTGGCTCAGCTATGAGCGATGCTAATTTCTACGCATTCTAGATGCCCGAAATCTTGAACCCTAAACTCTAAACCCTAAACCCTAAAACCCCAAAACCTAAACCCCTAAAACCCAACGGAGCTCCTGAGTAAAGGCATCCGGGAGGGTGCCGACCATGGCGCTCATGACCTGGCCGGCCTTGATGAAGAGACCTTTGGCCTCCTCCTGGGCTCTTATAGGCTTTTATCAGAGGTGTTATAGGGTTTAGGGTATGATTTAGATTTAGATAGTTTTAAAGGGTTTTGGGGGTATATTTCAGCAACACTCTCTCTGTATATTATATATATATATATATGGTTATGTGTTTATTTGTTGGGCAACTCTAGTAGCACTTACTTAGAGGACCATGGAACTTCGCAACAGGGGCTCTGAAACCCAGAAGTACGTCGGGGTCGACTACAGCGGCCTGCATAACCCCAAAGGTCCAAAGGAACTATTAGCTCGGGCTTAGCGTTCTTGTCAGAGCCTTGTGGGTTCTAAGGGGTTTTGTAGGGGTCTCCGAAGGTCCGATTGATTTGACAGTTAGGGTTTAGGGTTTAGGGTTTAGGGTTTAGGGTTTAGGTTTTAGGGTTTAGGGTTTAGGGTTTAGGGTTTAGGGTCTAGTAGGTTAGTACTGGGGACAGTAAATGACTCTTAGGTACTGGGACTGACGGTAACTAAAACAAGCATTTGGAGGGGGAGGCGTTACATTGTAGAAAGATCGTGCAGGGAACATACGGGGACATTCTCGCCAACTATTCAGACGTGACCTCTATATCAGAAGCACTGCCAATGGGGTTTCGGAGATGAGCCTCTCCTTACGGCTAGAACAATCAAAGAAATACTAACAACAAAAATAATAATGACAGTAATGGCAATAAGGCTCCGACCAGTGTACTATGCGTACTATATGTAGGCTAGGCGCCCATGCGTTCTCCCAGATTTGATCTGTACTACAGAGGTATAGACGGAGACTTAGGCTTTATAGGGTATAGCAATGACATTCTTGATCCTTGAAGCCGAACCAGTTGAGTCAAGTAATTGCGACAAGGGCGCCGCATGACGCTTCAGCTCCACGGCACTAATCGCATGGCACTCCTGCACGTCTTCCGCAGAAGGCCGCAGCTGAACACTACATTTAAAAACTCACGGATTCAACCTGTTTGGTGAAATGGTGAGCTGGTTTAATGGCTTGATGACTACTATTTCTTGTATATTTGCGAAAACTATTGGTGCTGATATTGCTGTTTTTACGATTTTCCATGATTGCTTGTACTAATACTACGGTCGCTACGGGTTGATTGAATTGGATGGCTATAACTTCGCGAGTCCTGGGGTTTGTAACAGGCTTTCTGGTATAATGGTATAATTCTTTCAGCCCAACATCTCTAAACCCTAAACCCTAAGCCTTAATCCCTAAACCCTATTAGGCCCTAAGCCCTATACTGGTCAGCTTCATGTCTTCAGGTTCGTGAATCCTGGCGTTTCCAGGCCGGGATTGTAGCTCATGGACCTGCCGAGGGCTCCGAGGTCCTCTCGCAACATGAATCCCACGAAGTCTACCGAAACTTTCTCGCTTTCCTACTGTTGATGATATAAATCCCGCATTACCTTCAGGACCCTGAACTATGGGAATTATTGTATATTCCTCATTATGGGTAATGTAGGTTTTATACCATCAACCGTA